TGCCCCCCCCCCCCCCCCCCTCACCGGTGGAGTGAGCACCCAATAACGCAGCTTGGCAGCAGTCATACCGGCACATATCAGTTCTGAGGGCAAAAGAATAAAATCCCACGGACGCTTAGCGATTGGCCACACGCATCATTTTGGCGGGATCGGTACGGTTAACGCAGTTACATACGGTGTGTATATTGCAGCGGCGCTCCCCCGCCTTCACCCACCTCCCGCCCTTCTTCTGCCGCACGGCGAAAGCCACGTCGCGGCTCTTCAACATCTTGAGGTCACCTCGTTTCCGCTTCAGTTTGCCCTTCTTCGTTAATTTTCTCGGACGGTCAGCCATTGCGAGTTTACGCTTCTGCTTTGGCATCTTTTTCACCCGCTTCCCCATCGTTGTCGTCCTCCTCTTTTACCGGCCTCCGCTCTTTTCCTCAACAGCACCAACGCACACACACACACCTTTCTACGCACCCCACTGCTGCTGTACTTCCCCACCGTCAAGGAGTGAAAACTACACTGCGTCCGTCCAAAAGAAAACACGGGCGGGATGTTGCCGAACAGTGCAACAACAACAACCAAAAAAAAAGAAGAAAAAAAGAGACAACAGCAATCAATAAATTCAAAACAATACAAAAGTAAATGAAGAGGCATGCGGAAAAAAAATAGAAACAAAGTAAAAAATAAAACGAAATAAGAAAAAATAGGCACGGATGAGCTCCCTAAAAGTCCCATAGCCACTGCAATAATCCCCCGTCCCTTTTGTTTGTGAAGGAATTCCAGACAATACAAACCATTCCCGTCTTCACTTCGCTCTCCCCACCCCGCGTCTAAAGGGTTGTCATGTACTCAAGCAACTCCATTGCAGTATCCAAGTGACCCAGGCGTTCTAGAAGGCGGCAGCAGCGAGATTGCTGCTCGGACGTCATGCTATGTCGCTGTCGCCATAAATTCTCCAGTAATACCACCAGAGTTTCACGATAACGGCCTCCGATTCCAATGCGCTGAATGGCAGCTATTGTGCCCAAAACCTCTTCCACGCTCATTTCGCCACCGTGACTACGAACTGCGTCACACAAAGGCCCAAATCGGTAGGAATCAAAGGGTGAAGCACTGCAATTCTTTGCAATGACGCTAAACACATGAGACAACGTTGCTGTCGGCTCCTCTCCCAAATGACGCGGTCGTATTTGTTCCGTCAAGTGAAGCACACGCTCCTTGGGACAGGTAGACCAGGTGCGAAGAAGGACCTCCACTGGATTCTCTCCTGAGAGTAGATCGGGTTTTTGAGGAATCATGGGGTGTTCGCGAACGCCAGCAAAGAGAAGAGCGTTCATCACAAAAGGTCCATCCGAGGGTTCAACGTTGTAACGCAGCCGCTCTGTCAGCACCTCAATTGATCGTTCCACTTTGTTTTTCCACGATTGGCGGAGCTCATCTGGAACGGAATCTATGGGCACCCCTCCCAAAGCGTACAACATTTGGCATCGTTGTTGTGTGGTTAGTTGAATGATGTCTCTTCGCACCCTCCGTGCCAACATCAGACGGTACTTGTAGTGCACAATCCCCAGACACGACAATGCATGGCCGATAGATACAAACCACTCTGAAGACAATTCCTCTTCGGGTGAGTAGCTGTATTCTAACGGATCGGTGGGGCGTAATGCGTGTAAAAAGATACCGTCCATAAAAGCACGTTCATTGGGCGGAGGCTGCCTAAGCATGGCAAGGCCCATTGTGTGTTTCCGTAACGCCGCTGCGTTGCACTTTTTAAAGTCCACCATACTGGAGAAAAACTTTTGATGAATATGTCGGTGTTGAAGAACACCTAAACTATAGATAACCTGTGCGAACTGCTGACATGTCACAAGTGCGTGAGTAGAAAAAAGCACCTCACAGCAGGCATTGCATAATTCAGCATCATACAACCCAAGTTCTGCGAGACTGCTCAAGCAGATCCCAGCATCAAGTTTTGACAGCTGCATTTCGCGCAGTGATTTAAGAATATGCCTTGCGGAAGGACATTTCTGTAGCTTTGCCTCCATTTGAATCTTGCCCTTGATAGGCAATAAACCCATCATATCAACACTCACTGGAGTAAAGTGAAAACCCTCGCCATAGACAATGTCTGTCCCTCGAAGAAGTGACAAAAGTGTTGAGGTATGTGGCCGTACTGACTGTTCTTTCCACTTCTGTAATGTTTTTTCTAGACATGGAGCCAGTAAAGATCTTAACGCTAATGATGGTGATGATGAGGGCATATTTTTCTTGTGTAAATCCCCCTCATTCGCCAGATTCCGAGCAAAAGAGACCAATGACTGGAGTACAGTGGCAGACTCATTCACGTCGCCATGATTACCGTCAACGTAGGCCTCAGCAAGCTGCCCTACAGTCTCCAGAGCCTCGTGCACGGGGTCCGTGTCGGCACGTGCAAATAGAGTTGCACAGCTCCTTAAAAAAATAGGAACATACGGCAGGTTTTGTCTTTTTATTTCGATATCATTGCAACGGCTTCGAATCATTTGAGTCGCTTCCGCCACGAGCTGCGAAGGATTCCCGTCGCGTCGGAGCATGCGCACCTGCAGACGACTCAGCTCTTCACACAACGATCTAAACGCGGCACACATTCCCGAGCACAAATGACACGCAAACTATTGTCCTGTTACAAAAAAAGTATGATTGTGGACAGGGTCGTTGGCGACGGAAACCCAAACATGAGCAAAAGCAAAAAGAAGAGAAGAATGACATCAACAAGATGAGACAACGAGTGTCGTAATTTTCAGGAAAGAGTAAATTTCCGCTCTCTCTTTTTCTTTTCAATTGACGCAAAAACACATGGGGAAAAAAAAAACACGTGACATCCCGTTCAATTTGTAGAATTGCCGTCTCGCAAATGGTACCGGGCATTCGTTCTGGTGAGTATGGCGGACGGTTCATCATGCCCGCGGCTATTGATATTCTCTGCGCTCTGACTTGCGTGGAAGGATTCATTCAGAGCAAACCCGTACTCTTCCATCATCCCAGCTCCGTATCCCCCAAAGGAATCAGGCGTACTCGAGCGTATCGCTCCAATCGCAAAACTATTTCTAGAGACATTGTCAGTGCTAGCAAACCCAATGGCATTATTCACTGCGTTATGAAGAGAAATGGAGTGTGAAGCCGCACTTTCTCCAGCCTGTTGAAGCGACGCTGGTGTTGAGTCTCTTTCATCGGGGGTACTGGACTCATCACTCCCACCGCGAAAGCGATCTAACAAATTACGGCGTTGTGTCGGAGGTGTACGAAACATATGAAGCGGCTTAAACTGCATATTTCCTTTTTCTTTGCTTTTTTCTTCATACCCCTCCGTTTTTGTTATTTTAGTTGCCGTTGGTGTCACGTTCTTCGTTTTTTCGGGTGCAAAACAGCCTAGAGACAAGGTGCCATGAGTTAAAAAAGAATATCCGTCTTCTTCCGTAGACGGTGGTGTCTCCCCGTCCTCCTTCCTCTGCCCGTCCATCTTCCTCGGCGGTACCGGGATGGCCACGGCAGAAGAACCTCGGTTTTCTCTCCGTATCGATGTCCTCGGATCTCCAGCGCCCGCTGATTGGACACTGGCCGACGCCAACATGCCGTACGAAGTGCCTAGTGATGGGGGGCGAGATCTCTCCACACTTTCCAACTCTGCAGGGGTTTTTCTTGTGAGGGGGTCACCTCCCTTTTGGGAACTTCGCAAAGAGCTGCGCCTTTCTTTGTCCTCGCCCCTACTGCAATTGAATTCATGGCCTTCCTCCTCTTTCTGCAGTTGACGTTGAGCAACCGCATTGGAAGCATGAAAGCCCTTTTCCTGTGACGTGCTGTTACGGGGCTTGATTGAAGGCAAGTCATTGTGTCCGTCCCCCATCTTTTCTTCGAGCCTTCGTAAATCCTTGCTATCCTTCTTCTTGTCGGCATGTCGATGGGATCGTCTCCTCTTTTTGCTTGCCCTGTGAGTCGAACTGGACAAGGACAATGACAGTGCCGGAAGCGCTGATGAAGACGCGGAGGAAGATCTACGATGACGTCGATTTTTCTTCGTTTTTTTCCGCGTGCGTGACCCCTGATGGCGTCTTGGACGCTCGTTGTTTTTTTCCTCACGTCCTTGTCGTAAAGCTGACGACGCCATTTTCACCTCATTGCTGGCCGCCAAAAGCTGTGCAACCGCTTGTGTCAAATCCTGCAACACCAAACCCAGCGGTGGTGAAGTCCCACAACTGCTACTGTTAGCCTTCAGCTTCACTGCGGAATCGGTTGTCTCAGCACCGCCGCCGCCGCAACCACCGCTGCGGCAATTCACAGAAGAAGCGGCCGCTGCCAATGGAGGTGCCGATGAAAACACGGCATCTTTCATGTGATACACCATAAATCGCAGGCGTGTCACCTCAGCGCTCAGCGCCTCCACCTCTCGCTCCAGCGTCTCCATTAGCATGATGACACTTCCCCACACACTAAACAGCACCCACTCCTCTTCTCCCCAGTGACGGCCCCTCCCAACAACTCACCGCCCAAATAATTACGAATCCTTCCGGCGCTACGCGCACCCCGTTTTTGTGCTTCCCCTCCGCGTGTTTGTGTTGTGGTGTTTCACCCCTTGGCGTTGCCCAAACTCAAGAAGAAAGGAACATACAAATAATATCAAAGGGAACCGGGAAGAAATTTTTACGTTTCTCCCTGAAGGCACTTCACACGCTTTTCCTCACAAAACAAAAAAAAAGCGAAAAAAAAAAAAAAGGGGATCTAAATTGAATGACAAACAAACAAGAAAATAAAAATAAAAATAAAAAGACAAACCAACACAACTCAGTCTTTGCTGGTTGTCATCTGTCACAGGAAGCATGGGCCCGCTCAACAATCCTGAAAGGAGTTGGTTAGACTACACACGATGATTACACGATTACAGAATCTTGTGATTTCACAAGGGCATGCAAAAACACATCACCTCCCTCCAAAAAAAAAAAAAAACAAAAAAACGCCACCACCACCACCACCAAGAAAATGAGGGCGGCATCTCCTGAAAATAAACAAACTTAAAGACAATCTCTTACACCGCAGTGTCCACACTGCCCTAATGACTGCCGCTGCTGTCGCATTGCATAGCCGCCGTGGAATGGTAACCCTCAGAGTAAGGGATGCTAAACTCCCTCAAAACAGAGGTAGCGTATGAGCCTGGAGGAAGGGAAAATTCCACCACAATTGCCTTACTCACTGCAGTCGTTGTGCAGGCGTCCTGTTCAATCTCATTATCCATCATACCATTATTATTGGTGTCACACATGGCTAACTTTTCCAAATCCGTAAGAATAATTGGCTCTCGCGGTCCTTTCGTGTTCACAAGGCGCATCTTTAGTCCTCTCGGCTTTACTACCAGCGGTCGATATGCCCCATGGTAATGATACACCTTCACAAGGGGATTCTCTGCATTCAAAAGCATCTCCGCTCCTCTCAATTTGAGCGCCGCAATGTACGACTCACGCGTGCAACTCGCAATACTTGGATACTGCAGTTCTTCGTCAGGGCCTGGAACAGTAAGAAGAACATCACACAGACAAAAAAGGCCAGTTGCCACGTCTTCTTCTGTGAGTCGCACCACCTCCGGCAGACCATCTTCCTTCATTAGGATTTTAAAATCCTCGTCATTGTCATCTGGTCGATTAGCACGCTCCCTTATGTGCGTATACAAATTTTTTAACAGCAAATCACCTGGGAGAGGTCCCACACCACGTTTCAATCGCTCCGAAGCCATGATATTCCAAATCAAACTCTGTACAGCATGACAGTACAACATACCCAAAGTTCGCGGTATCATGTGCAACGCGCCCAAAAAATCGTTGGGGCATTTTACCAAATGCTTCAGAATGTCACGCTCCTGAAAACAGTAGCGTGGAAGAAGCTTTAGCGCCTCATCAAAGGACCGTCGCTCCACAGCCTCCTTCGAGGGAAGGAGATTCGGTTCAACAATCGCTTTAGAATGAAATATCATGCGAAGTGCTTGTTCAAACTCTCCAGAAAGCAATTTGATACCAACATCACTTGTTAACACTTCCGTCGTGCCAAAGCGCTGAGGCCCGTAGTAGTTCACCACACCAACAGAGCCAATAACTTCTTGAATGACCTTCAGCATGTCAGGTGAAGGCTCTGTACTATCTGGTAAAAGACGGAGGGCAATAAGAAAATGATTGCCCAACGTATCACCAAGGCGCAGTCCACTCTCTGCCTCCTGGAAACCACATACCTTCAGTTCACAATCCGGACCAAATGACCGATCATTGATTTCAGAGAGCCGCTCGCACGAAAGGCCCCGAACCGCAACGCGCTGGAGAGTCACCGCCCTTTTGTCTTTTGTTCCGCTGAAAAGGAGTTGTCGCACCGGCAAACAAAGGTGTCCGGCAATTGCACGTAGGGCACGATTGCTGTCCATGTTTTCCTTGTATAGCGTAAAGTGCAAGAACTTTTGTAGGCGCAGTGGGTTTGAGCGACGCATTTCTTCCCTTCTTGACACTGACGTTGACTTTTCAATCACAAGGGACCCGTCCACAGTGCGACTCAAATACGACGGTCCAAGTGTATTCTTTACCGCTTCATGCACCCGTGTGCGCTGCGCCTTCGTCAGTGAAGAATCTCGAAGCATCACCCGATCAGCACCCGCACGCAAAGCTTCCAGAAGAGACGACAAATCCTCCGGACCCAATAGCGATGAAAATTGCGCCTGTACATGCTCCAGTAACAATATCGGTTGAGCATCCAACGCTGTAGCCATCGCCTCCTCCTCCTTCTCCTCTCGTGGCCGTTTCACAGCCTTCAATTTGCTGTCCAACCGCTCGACCGTTGGCAGCTGCTCCAGCACAAGCGGCTCACCGTTGTTGTACAACGGAGACAACTCCCGCACCACAAAGTCCGAGTACAACGTTTTCAGGGACACCAGTGGTCGCCTAAAACCCAAGTTCATGCCCTTTTCCGCGAGAATAGCGTCCGTGAGAAAAAAGTGCATCCCGATACATTCTTCACGATCGTCTGCCCCTCCGGCCGAGCAAATCTCCACCATTTCCGTTTCTAAAACCAAGATCTCGGGCAGGCGCACACCCGCACGGAAATGAAAAAAAGAAAAAAAGAACAGAAAAGAAAGTGAATGCAAGCCAACAATAAAAAAAAAAGACAGAAAATAAAAAACACAAGAACCTCAAAAAAAACCAAAAAACATAAGATTCTTTTCTTGGTGCATATATATATATATATATATATATATATATATATATATATATATATATATATATATATATGCATTTGGTGGAGGAAAGAGAATCGTCATTGATTGCGTCAGAGCAAATTGGCAAGGCGGCTTGAAACCGCGGGGAGTTCTGCGGCGACTCGACGTGCGACTCCCTCCAACTCAGTTCTCCCCTCCGCAGCAACACATGCCAAAGTGAAGAGAACTGCGTTGAAATCAGAGAATGCTTCGGGGCTTCGCGGCTGTTGTAGTCGCTCCTTCACCCTACGCTCAACGGCGCGAATATCATTCAAGGTGTACCAACTCGGGCACGCGACTATTTCATGTTCAAGAGGCGATCTTGACGTCACGTCCTCTCCCAATCTCGTGTCAAGACCCTTTTTTGCATCTCCCATCTGTATCCAAGAGCGACACTCCTCCGTCATTGCACTATCCATGCTCTTGATTTTCAGTGCGACCCTTTGAATCTCCAATCGATTTTCTTTTGGAATGCCTCTTTTCAACTCGTTGTAGTACTTCAAGCAACTGGCGACAATAATCCGAAAGTCTGCTGCAGCTATGCGAGCAGCCAAATGGCGACTTGCTACAACGTTCCGTAGACGATGCAACTCTGTATTTGAACATAAATGACGCGCCGCGGCATCAAACAGAATAAGCTGGGATATATCGCCAACAATACGATTTAGTCCCAATGCCTCTCCCAATTGTGCAACACGTTCACCAGATCCGTCTGTATACGTGCTCCTATAATTCATAAAGGCAAACTCTTTTAGGAATGAGCTACGCATTTGCATTTTAGTCTCCATCTGTTGCCTCTCCGGGAACTCCGTAAAGTCGCCATCCGGGCGCAGGTGCAGCATTCTCTCCCTCGCGTCAAACATGGAGTCCCACGGAACTGAGAGAGACGCGGATGGTGAGGCGACGGAAGAAAGTTGGGTGCCGACCTCCGTAAAGGCAAAAAACATAATGGTGTCCAGAAAAGAGGAGACTTCACGAATACGTCCTACTAACGGCTCGGGACTGGTACGAAACAATTTTATGAGAGGTTCAAGCTGTTGCCGCATGAGAAGAGGCACATGTGCGAAAAGTGCGTTGTTGTCATAGGACAACAATGAAGACCACGCCTCAACGACCTTCTCACAACTCTCTAAGTTACTCGCATCCCCCACAATGTCAGCCAAAACGCCTTGAGCCAGTGTTAAAAGTTCGCGGCAACTGTTAAAGTAATCACGCGTGGAACGACTTCCCTTTGGACGCCGCGCCAGACTCTTCACAAGATCGTCACTCCCCTCAAAGAGGTTGGCATCTGGGGCCAAATTCTTCTGAATAAATGCCAGAGGCTCCTCACGAAGAGGTTCCAATTCCCACTCAAGGAGGATCAACTCTACCACAAGGATCAAACCTAATCCTGCCACCTCTTGTGGCGTTGCTGTGTGAATCCATGGCCGTTCTTGAGGCGATTTGGGCATGAGAGCTGCAGTGACAGATAGAATTGGTTTCAACACGCGCTCTGAAAAGACAACATGACTCCATGTTCGTTCCTTATACCATGGGGTCCCTACATTCAATTCAAACGTTTCTTTCCTAATAGAAATTAATTTGAATAATTCAACCATGTCTACCCCACCCAGGGCCCTCTTCATTTCGTCTCTCCCCATGATATTCTCACACAGAAACTGAGCCACAGAGGTGGGGAAAATTCCGAAGCAATACGCACTCAATGTATCACCCCCCTCGCATGGAAGCAAACCGCACATGCGTATTCTTTGATAACACTTTTTTCCCGAATCCGTGATGGATGCTTGAAGTTGACTCTTCCAGCAATGAAGCATCACTCGAAATGCCAACAATTGACGCAATAAACGCAAATAACGAGTATAATAAGCATGCCCGACAGGCTTTTCGTGTTGACGTATGATCATGCACAGAATCAGCAATAGTACGCATGCTTCATTTCCCCCATAGTTCGTACCAGCAATTCCCGTTGTAAAACATGGAACATGTTCCACACCCGTAAGAAATGCCGCGTCATTACACGTTTTCAACAAAAAAACAAGATCTGATAATGACCCTAAAGAGGCCAACGTAGGCCGCCTGGCAAAAGAACAACATAGCCAAGACAGGGAAATCACCGCTACATCCACAGTTTGAAAACCCAATGCACTAAAGACCTCCAACTGCTGCAATAAAGAGCCGAGGCCACGGCCAGCAGAGCTGTAAAATACGGCCCCAATCTCAGCCCATATATCCTCCTCTGCATCGCTCGCATTCTCAAAAGCCCACATCTTGTCACGCAAAAATTCCAACTTATACCCCCCACAATGAAAATGTTTTAAAAAGGCATCCAAAGGAATCGAAGGAATTTGTGTAAAATTAGTTTCTGGTGGAGCGTCCTTATGCATGGCCAATAGCCGTTGCATAGAGGGAAGAATATCCTCCAAGAAATGCACAAACTCTGGAAAACCGCCACTGAAGAGCATCTCCGATGCTGCACTCACTCCCTGTAAAAGAGATGGATGCGATTCCCCCTCCTCCGAAAAGAGAGCCTCGCTATTTGGCAACTTTGACGCCTTCATGCCCGGCTGCTGCATTCCATCATTTAACCCTCTCAACATCATTGCCCGATGATAATTTGTCACACAAGCAAGTCGCAGTTCCAAATAATTCAGACATTGGGCCGCGGTAATGTTACGTGGAACAGTCTCCACTGTCGTATCCATACCCATAGGGAAACAACGTTCATCAGATACCCCAGGCGAAAATTTACTCTTTACAGTATTCTCCAATTTCTTCATCTGCAATCGGTAGGCGGAGAAAAGCCTCTCGTCTGTCACTGGAGTAGGAAGCGGCAAACGCAATGCTGATATAAAAATATCTCGCGGCATTATTTGGTACCCTTTTTCCCGCAACGTCTTAAAAGAACTTTCTCCCTCATTCAGTAAAGCAGAAGGATCAGCAAATAAAAATGAAGAAGGAATTTCTTCTTCCTTCTTCGCGTTCAGCTCCACATTTACCCGTATGACTTCTCTGAAGGGCGTTAGTAGGAGGATAGACAATGCAGAGGAGACGGATTCTGGACGAAGCAGAATGGATCCCTGAGGAACGTGGCGAGCTGCCAGGCGTTCTCCCAAACGTATAGAGTACACCTCCACAGCATAACGAAGTAGTAGGTGCACAACAAGCAATAACATACGTTTTCCAGCAATGGTAGCTACGCACCATTGAAATTTAGCAGAACGGCAACCCTTCATCACCCGCCAGAGGGCACCGCCCATCAAGTCATACAAATAAATACGTCCAGAACTCTCACTGTAACAAGCAGCCCATTGAAAGGTGGGGTCCACCTGGACAACATTAAACACTATGTCAGCCTCAAAAAAAGCATCCTTCGCTTGTTGATGTCGCTTGGCTAAACGTTGCGGTTTCATTGCACCCCTATCTTCATTTTCTGAGGACCTTTGCCATATTCTCCGCGCCATTCCACCCAGGACCGAGACCACAGCTCTTACAGTTTTCCGTGCAGAAAAGGCGGCACGTGTACTTTCAAAGGTGTACATGGAAAGTGCTGGAGCCTCACCACACAAAATAAGAGATTCCATGGCCTGTGGGCCATTGCGGAGAATCGCCGCCGTGTCCGAAAGGTTGCCAAAAAAGAAGGCTGCATCACGAATACTGCGTCCCATAGGACTATTCGACGTGATCGGTTGTGTCCGCAACTCCACGGCAGAGTACCGCTCTTCCTCTGAGACGATAAAGACGGATTCTATGCAAGAGGCAAAATGGGCAGCTGGTCCAGCAGAAGGAAATGAGCTGATACTGCTATCAGGCGACCACTCCAAGAGAAAGTATGGGCGTTTTCCATCAAGACGTTGCTCTGCCACAGAAAGGAAAATGTCAAGGACATTTCGACTTAGTAATACGACCCTTCCCCTACTGTGGACGACGCACACCGCGTGGAGAGTCCCTATCGGCAGAGAAGCGGTACTTTGAGCGATGTTTGCATTGAAACGTACATCTGGCCCAGTGCCATGCAAAACGAAACGAACGACTGATTCATTCCGACACGTCGGTGGCGTCTCATCTCCTTGGGACTTTTCAAGCTGACTGTGTGTAAAGACTCCATGGTACTGAAACTGCGCCAGCGCCATGATTGTCCCACGGAGTGCATTGCAAATAAAGACTGTCCCGTTGGATGTTCCAATAAACAAATGCAAATAAGTAGATTCCAACGCGCGTTTCTTTTTAGGTAAGACTTCTCTAGAGTCTTCTACCTTTCGGTAATCACAAGCAAGCTCAATCGCCGTAATCATTCCCTCTTCTTCCAGCACCTGAAAGAACTTTGGTATTCGAAAGCTGCTTTGAAGATTTTCAAGTAACGTTTCATGTTCCACCACCTCACTTGCTGCTGAAGAATGAGATTTGGCATCCATCACGACGGTGTTGGTGGTAAAAGTGGAATCCGCAGCCGCAGCATTAGTATTATTATTATTGGTGTCCAAAATAAACTCCACAGTACACCTGTTTTTCGCGGCATTCACCGAAGCGAAAAGGTATGCGCCTTTCATCAGCTCAACATATGTGACACATAACGGGAAGGATTGCGACACCGCTTCCGCATGTTTAAGTACACCGACTTGCCTTAATGAAAGTGACGCCATATGTAATTTGTCCCTTCCTGGGGTTGTTGCTGCCGCTGTCGGCTAAAAGGGAAACAACCAAAGAAGGGAGAGAGAGAGAGAGAGAGAAAATGTGTGTGTATGTGTGACTGACCTTCTTGGCCACTCCAGCTAAATAAGCAAGGCGCCAAAACAATTCTTCCTTTATTTATTTTTGTGCTCTGGGACACACAATGCACTGCAACTTTTCTCTTCTTCGTGGCCGCTGTCGATATATAGAAATACATATCAGGAGAAAAAGAGCAATGGTAATCATCCTCGGAGAATCCATAAAGTCAACCAAATCCTTCGGAGTTCAGAAAACCCAGCGAGACATGGTGAAACACAAGACGTTCCCAAACACATTCTTATTCCTCATTCCTTACTCCAGAAAAGGTCACTCCCTCACTGCTTGGCCGCGTTGTCTCCAGTTGCCTTGACAACGTCTTGTTTGGGGGGATCCGTTTCATGTAGGCTCTGCTTCTTTTCTTGTTCCCATGTCACTACGGAGTTGAGGACCATGTTGTTGGGGACATGCAGCAGGTGGCCCTCCGAGCTGCGCAGGTACAAATACCGCGTGTCCCAGTCCACCACCTTCCCTTTGACGACATTAAGGCCAGTCCCAATGCAAACCTGATTCCCTGTTCGAAGTGACTGTTGACCGCTCAGCACAATGCTCGCGACAAAGTTGGTACCAAAGTCCTTGCAAGCAAATCCAATTGTGGCCCCTGTTACACCCGCAGCAGCGATAAGAGGCGAGGTATCAACACCGATCGTGCCAAGCAACGAAAAGGCCACAGCTCCCTGCACCAGCAAAGCGCTTACTCGACTAGCAAGACTACGTTGACTGGGGTCAGCAATAATGCCAGTGTCAAGATAGAAGCGATTGAAAAAGCGTTTCATCACAAATGTTTCTCTCCCTTCACCGATGCGTTAAAGAAAAAAAAAAAAAAAAGAGTGTTCGACTCGCCAACAAGCAAGAGCGCAGCGTACACTGGGGAAAAGCAGGTACTTCTCACAGGTCTTTTCCACTCACACATATAGATACGCAGACAGAAAGTGTTAAGATATTTTTAACCAAGGCTGCCGTCTAAACAAAGTCAATTTCAATTCTTCATTCTTTTCTTCACTAGTTCAGCTAAATCATAAAATTATTACAAAAGATAGTTCTGCAAAAAAAAAAAAGAACTCGTCTCCTTCGTCGTAGACCCTTACAGCCAATAGGATTCATTTCGTTTTTTCTCATTTTACTCATGCGCCGGAGTAGCACCTCTTATGAGGCAAGTTTCTCGTGTCTACAGTCCAGTGCTGGCTGCTCCTCCTGCCTTTGTAATCTTCTTGTTCACCACGGGACCATTCTTTCCACCTCTTGTGTAGTCCTCGCGACGGCGGCCGCTTGACCTAAGGAACTGCTGATACTGCGGAGAATTGACGTCGTAGATCATAATACTTCCTTTATTTTGCAAAAGATTTATATGCAAGTATTTTCGGCAAGTTTGTTCTGTGCGTGGGTTTAGGGTTGTGTGTATGGCTTTCTTCAAATGCCACCGTGGGAGAAAAAAAAGAAAGAAAAAAAAAAGTAAAAATAACAACCATAAATCTTCATAAAATCCCTATTATTATTATTATTATTATTATTATTGATTCATCCAAGTGGGAGGATGACACACGTGCAACACCACTCCCAAAGGCGTCCTGCTTTGTGTTGGTCTCGTGTTAAATGATGAAGTGCGTAGTTTTACTCGACATCTGCTACACCTGGAACCCAGGCTGTAACAATTAATATCACTCCTGCTCCCGTCGTTCATCACCCTCTTCTCTTTGTCGCTTAAACGGCATTTTTCCATCCGTCTCGGTACTCTTCGCCTGCTCCAGCAGAATTGCTTTTGAGACCTCCTCCAGGCGTGGCCGTGGGATGCCGTTTGTCTCAGTCTTGATCGCCGTTAACAAATATCCGCCTGCGGTACTCATGTTTACTGTCGGATGTGTACGGTTTGGAAGGATTTGATGGTGACGGTACCATGTCTCGGAAACACAAATGTTCACACACTCCCTCCATAGCCTCGCAAAAGCGCCAGACAAGTCCTCCAGAAATTGACTGTACACCACAATGTGGCCGCCCAGCGCAATAAAGGGCAACAGTTCATTAATTAAGCTCTCGGATTCCGTGTCGTTCACAATAATGAGTGAGTCGGCCGGCCTTTCCTTTAACATGCGACGTGCGTCAATCCCACGTATCCACTGCGATGGACCTTCAATATCACCATTTCCTCTTTTCTTGTTGCCTTTATTGGTGTTGTTTTTCCCAGTGCCTGTCTTCTTCTTCTCGTCTCCCGGATTCTGTTCCTCTTCTGTACCTTCCCTGCCAAGAAGAAAAGCATCATTTCGAGGGATGGCTTTCCAAAGCTCCCGCACGCGAGTGAGGCCCATCGCCTGCGCCAGAAACACGTTGGGCTGTGCAACCTTATCCATCACTTGCATTATTACACCGTCGTTCCCAAGACGTGTGAGCAGTGCTGCTGCCAAGTGGCCATTTGTTTTTTCGTACACGAGAACACGACTACCACTATGTACATCACTGTGGTGCAAAATAAGCGCCAAAGTGTCAGCGCGAAGCCGCATTGACCGTGTTTCCTCCGGTTCCACATCCGATGGGTTGATTGTCGGGAGATAAATCTCTGCGGCGGCGTCAGGTGTCACGCGTTCCACCTTGTATAATGTACCGTAACGCTTCTTTTTTTTTCGAAGATACTTCTCTTGCGAGTATGCCGTCTTTGTGTGAAACGTCGTGCTCTTCTGCACGAGGGTGGTCAGGAATGCGTCAACACCCTTTTCTTGACGCAAAGCAGCAATCTCGACGTTTGAAAGAATTTGATTTCGGTTATCGTCCACAAGGTGTCGATTATCACGTGCGTCTTCGAGACGCTGCTGCAGGCTCGTGATGTCAAGGTCGGGATACGCATTCGTTGGGAGAAGCACGCGGTCTTTGGGGTCGTACCGGAGCACCTCGCCAAATCGCAGGCCGACGAGTTTCTCGAGTTGCACCACCCCCGAGCTGCCGAGGCGCAATTTGTTGTCCGCCTGCACCAACGCCATTCGTTTCACGCCGCCGCCGGTGATGATGACGTGATCGCCCAGCGCAATGCGGCCGTCCGTCCTCGGTTCTTCCGCATCACTGCCACCGCTGCCGGTCATGGTGCGTCACCCACCTTTCTGTGGGATGAGGCCGCAGCAAATTAGGGGGAAAAAATAAAAATAAAAAAATAAATTAAAAACGCAACGAAAAGCAGCACCGCAAAAAAAAAAAAAAAAGGCTTAAAGCCTCCTGCTGGTGTCGCACAAAAAGAACCAAGAACAACAACAACAGGATATTCGATAAATAATGGGTAACAGGATTCACGAGGAATCTGCGGGGTTTCATCCTTTTTTTTTTCTTTTTTGCCCTCATTTCACATCCACCGGCGTGTTTCCCTCCTTTTTAAAAAAAAATTAAATCAACGCCTTTCGACACGCGGCGCGACACTCCGCCACGGCGTTAGCGAAGATACGCTCGCCCAAATCATCTTCCGTGTCTAATTTTTTATCCAATGCAGTTCCTGAGGGTGGCGGAGTCGATGATGGCAACACCGCAGTCTCAGCCACAACTTCCCTCGGTGAAGGGTGGCGAAAGCAACGACCATCAACGCAGAGGACAGAAGCGAAATGCCGCTGAAGGATTTTATCATATGCCCCTTTATCGCGGCAAATGGGGTTTTCGAGGAGAAGTGTTTCGTGCGTGTCGCCAGAGAGAGGCATCTCCCGCTGCAGAAAAAGAGAACGGAGGTTTGGGAGCTGCGCCAAGGGCACAATTGCCATCTCGTTGCTCAGCTGGTTTCCTTCCAAACGGACCTCCTCCAGAAGCGAGCAGCGGTCAACGCCTGCCAGATCTTCCACTTCATTCTCCGAAGCGTTTATGTACCTCAGCGAGCCAGCAAGCAGGGCAATCCCTTCAAGACTAGTGAGGCAATTTCGCGAGACATCAACACGCACCAGCGCAAGGCAACGAGCAAAACCATCACCCAACGACCGGAGACCTCGTGAACAAAGTGAGATCTGAAACACCATCTCCACGTCGTACTGACGCGAGACACGCAGAATGCACTCCTCACTCAGAGTGCCCTCCTCTACAGTGTTATCAGTTCCTGATGGCATAACTTTCAATGGAAGACACAAGAGTCACATTTAACCAAGGAAGAAGAAAACACAAAAAAAAAAAGGTGAAGATAATTCCAGATCAGATCCGGCGTCTGTGTTTATGCCAAAATAAAAAACGCGGAAGACGCTCCCGCCATTTCCATTCCACCTATCAGTTATTCTGCGGCATCATGTTGTACGTCAACCCCCGCAAAATTGGATGCACACCACGCCTCAATACCAAAAATATATACAAATGTGTTTAGTTCAATCCATTTAATGAGGCTAATCGCCGCTTGTTAATGTAATCGTTCAGTCTCTCTTCCTGGTAACGCCTGCGCAGCACAGTGGGCCTCATATGCCACGGTATTTCCACACTGAACTCATCACAAAGTAGCTCCACTGATTCACGAAACGTTGCATTGGTCCGTAGTGCTTCCCGATGCTCCAACGCTCGCATTGCCACAGCATGCACAGATGCAGTATACCCCATTTCCACCTCCACCGCCAGACGTGCGGCATGACCCAGTTGGGCCATCGTCATGCGGTCAACGTGATGCTCCAAACAAACAAAGCAGTTGACAGCCAGCTTTGAAGGAATAGGAACATCCAAGTCAACTGTTGCCTGAAGTAGAGTAAGGACTTGTGATATGTCTAGTCGTATCTCACGACTGCACTGTTCCTCCAATGTCGTAAGGAGACGCAATACGAGAACATCGTCCCGAAGGCCAAAGGCGGCGTGACACTGCAGCACACGTATCAATGTACTACGCCTGCACTGATCCACCATAGAAAGTACCCGAGTGCCAATGGCATCGAGGAGTGACTCCAAGGCTTCTGTCAGTTGCAGAGCAAGCACCGCAGAGAGGACCATCTCCATATCTTCATGAGACATGACGTTGACAACTTCACCCAACAAAGACATCATAAAAGACTCGTAATGACAAAAAAGTTCTAAATCCGATGAAAGAGCCCTAAAAGCAACGCAACGACTGTGAGCGTCTGCTTCTCGACAAGTCCGCTGAAAAACGTTACCAAATTGTGAGCTATCCAGTTTTACAAGATGCCAAAATTTCAGTCGGCTAATGCATTGTAGAAGTTTCGAAAACTCACTGGATGTCATCTTGTCACATTCCTTAATTAATTCAGTGCACACTTCTTCCGCAACCACCGCATGCGTATGTGCAAATCCAGCCATGTCTTTCTGTTCCACCAATGTGCTTAAAATCACCAACCGTTCTGGCAACGATGAGTACCGCTCTCTCACAACCTGCAAAACACGAGGTGCAATCTGATGATGGATCGCTCCATCTGTTCCTAGTCTTTCCTTACTGCATAGTGAGGCTTTTTGAGATGCGCCCTCACTCAACAATAAGGCCAAGGCCAACACGTTTCCCAGCGGATATGATACCGGTGAAGACAACAACTTCTCATCATTATTCTCCGCTCGCGACAATTTTCCAAAGAAACTCTCCGTAATCTCCAGCTTCATCTTATCATTCAACAATTTGTGCTTTTGAAGGAGACGGCAAAGCGTGAGAAGGCCTTCCAGATCTGCCAAGAGCCCTGGTAGCACC